GCAACGACACCTACTTCGCCACGCTGACCGTGCGGCCCGAGCCGGCCACCAACCGGACCCCGGGCGACGGCCGCAACGTCACGCAGGCGGCCGCGCGCTCCCCGCTGGACCTCACCGCCGTCCTGGTGTCCACGGCCATGGGCTGCATCACCTTCCTCGGCGTCGTCCTCTTCTGCTTCCTGCTGCTGTTCCTGTGGAGCCGCGGCCGAGGCCAGCACAAGAACAACTTCTCCGTCGAGTACTCCTTCCGCAAGGCAGACGGGCCGGTGGCCGCGGCCGGCCAGGGCGGCGCGCGCAAGTTCAACATGAAGATGATCTGACGGTCCCAGAGGCCCCGGGCCCGCCCAGGATCTCCACCTGTGCACCCTCCAGACGCGCAGAAGGTCCCCTTCTTTGTAGACCCCCAACCCCTGGACTGTTTTTCATGAGGACGCATTTTTTTTTTTTTTTTTTTGCAGTTTCTCAAGCGTTTTCTAGAGATTTCCACCCATCTTCCTGCCCCTGCTGTGGTGGCCGAGGTAGGGGTGCGGGTCGGGTGGAGGGATGGGTGAGCAGTCGAGGCTCCCTTCCAGCAACCTAGGATGCTGGGGGTCTCGGAGACCCCAGGGTCCTCACGGCCCACAGTTCACACCCAGGAGGTCCACGCCGCTGCCGCACACACACAACTCACACGCGGGAGAGACCGTCTACACCCAGACCCCTCGAAGAGCACCCCAGCCCCAAGGGGAGATGCACAGAGAGTCTGTCCTGTTCACACTCGGACGTCCCATGCCTCACACCTGGGACACACCCAGGACACACTCACACCTGGAATATGCATTAGCTCTCAACAGGGACACACAGGGCACCCCCAGCTGACACTAAAACCAGGCTCTGGCTCTAGAGCGAACCACAGCATTGTGCAGAGCTCTCGTGAGAGCACAACTCACACCCAGGACACACTCAATTCACACCTGGGACGTGCTCAGTTCACACCCAGTACCCACAGCTCACCCCCAGCTCCCGCTCAGCAGAGCACCTCACAGGAGACCTCAGGGACTGGGCTCAGGTCCTGCTGAGCTCCCCTGAGGGGGCCCAGCACACACCGGTGGTGCTTGTCACCGGCCCCCACGCCCCACCCTCCATCCTCTCTCACGCCAGGACCCGCTGGCCCAGCAGGGGTGCCTACGAGGAGAAGCCATGTCCCTAGCTTCCTCTAAAGCCCCTTACAGTGGCCGCTTGCTTCCCTGGAACGGCCAGCGGGGGTGCCCACGCTGTGCAGGAGCATGACTTCCGGGGCGTCCCTTCCATAGGCAGCTGGAGGGCCTTTCAACCATGAGTACACACTGACCCCTGAGCCAGCCTCAGACGAGCCCTGATTGTGGCCCCACCATGCCCAGTCCCCCCACCCACCCGACTGCTCACGTGGGGAGTAAAGCCAGAGAGTGAGGGCAGTTCTTGGGGTCCCTGTTAGGTGCACTGCAATGGGGGCAAGGCCCGAACAATGGCTTTATGCAACAGGGAGGTCCAGACCCAAGTCATTGGGAGGTGGCAAAGGGACCTTGGTCTTTGCAGCTTTGGGGACAGGGCAGTTCTAGGACCAAACCATGGGATCATGGGCAGATGGCAGCTCAGGTTAAGGAAGAGCTTCCTCGGGGTCACTGTCTGTTGTTCTTTAGGTGGTGAGTTCCCCGTCACTGGTGGTAAGCAAGCAGGAGCTTAGGTTTTGTAGGATTCAGACACCAGACGGGGACTGTCCATGACCCAGCCTCCCCTGCCTGTTTCTTACCCCACCCTCCACCTCAGCCAGACGACAGTTAGAGCATCGTTTGGGGAAGGGGCGCAGAAACATGGTGGGGCCTCACCTTGGCCACTCAGGGGCTTAGCTGCCAGTGGGGGGTTTAGGGCAGTGTCCTCAAGGACTTTGTAGGGAGGCTTCTGCCCACGCGTGTGATGTCGGCTGGTGGATGAGGACCCCTCAGACCATCGGTATCCTCGTCCTGTCTTTATAGTGGGTCTGAGGACCACATCCATTGACCCATGACCAGAGGCCAGGCCTGCAGATGGGTCTGGTAGCTTGACTTGGATCCCGGATCCCTCAAGACGGCTCTGAGAGCAGCCAGAGTGAAAGCCAGCGCAACCTTGCAGGCTTCGGGCACAGGATTCAGACAGCGCGTGGCAGGAGACGCGGACTCACGTCCTTCCACTGTGGCTGGGGACGTGCGGAGGCCCGGTCCTGCCCCACCGTGAACAGCCGGGCCAGCAGGGCTGGCTGTGGCTGAGGGGCGGAGGACCCACCACCCCAGACGCCACCCGCGACTCGGGCAGAACTGACTTTTCTTTCCCTTCGCATCCTCCTGACCCTGGTTGCCATGACAACCCCGAGGGCTCCTCAAAATCGACATCCAAGTGCCTTTAGCGTCGTCAAAGACAGGAGGGCGTGAGTTCCCGGCAGCATCAGGTTTGCAGAGCGTCAGTAGAGTTGGGATTCCCCAGCCCCCTCCCGCTCCCCGTCCCCACATGAGCCAAGACCCTCTCCAGCCCCCCGCCCCCCCCGTGCTGTGTTGGGTTGGAATCCAATAAAAACAAAATCGATTTAATAACAAACTTCAGATTTTTTTTTTAATTCCCATGGGAGGAGTAGGGGGCAGGAGTCAGGGCCATTGAATGAGGGGCTGCTGGGGTCCCCAGGGAGGGAGCTTCCCAGCTCCGGATCCAAAGCTGACCCTGAGAGAAGGACACGCGGTGATGATGTCAGAGGTCACACGTCAGGAGCGCCCATGCTGTTCCTGGTGCTGTTCCAGGTGCTGCACGTATTAGCTCCTTTTGTGCTGACAACAACCCTGGGACTGGGTCCTGTTAAAAACCCATTTTACAGATGGGCCAGGGGAGGGCCTCAGGATGGAGGGAGTCCGCCCAGAGTCTGCAGCCGGGGAGCAGAGGGGCCGGGATGTCAGGAAAACTCCTGCCCCAAACTCAAGTCGGACATGGAAGCAGCTGGGTCCCAGCTGCGCCTCTCGGATCTGGCCATGTCGTCCTCCAGCCTGGGCCGAGTCTCACCTCTTCCGAGAGGATCCCATGTCTGGCCCGAGTCCTGAAGTTATACAAATAACATACTTTCTCCTCACACCAATCCTATCTGACAGGTGGGGAAACTGAGGCCCGGAGAGGTAACACACACCCGGCATCAGGGCTCAAACTCCAGCGGCAGAGAGAAGCCTGTGCTCCTTCTAGAAGGAGGTGCACGGAGTTGGGGCGGTCCACGGAAGCCACCTGGTGTACCTCTCTGGGCCTCAGTTTCCCCATTTGAACATGGAAAGAAGTTTTCTTTTCTTCCCTGCCCTTCAGGAGACAAAGAGAAAATAGAGACCTGCGGAGCCGCGAGGTGTCCCCACCACGCGTGACTTCAAAGCCCGAGGGTGGGGGGCTGGGGCGTGGGACCCTCTCCCTCCTGCGGCAAAGGCAGGGGACACCATGGCCTCACGTGCCTGCTCCCTGTTCAGTGCCCCGAGTCCCTGGTTCGAACCAGGGACAATAGCCAAGATTTCCCCAAATCCTGTCTCATTTGTGGGGTGCAGTCGGGGGACCAGAAAGAGACCCCAGCTGAGGGGTCCTCCTCTCTGGGGTGGCCAAGGCCCAGCTGAAGTGAGACCCATCTGGGTGGTGGCTGGAAACCTGAGGAGGGGGCCGCGTACAAGGATGGCTGTGGGGTCCCCCCAAAGCTCAGGGCGTGGCCGAGCGACCCGCGTGCCCTGGGTCCAGGGGTCCGGGGGTCCGGATTCTGCCTGCCTTCACTTTTCCTCCCGGATTGAGCTGGGATGGCGTGCGGGGAGCCGCCAGCCCACTCACGCCCCTGCAAGCCCCGTCTTCCAGACACGGACACATTTCTGGGGGTGGCTCCCCAATGTCCCCCCAGCCAGTGCCTTTTCCAGGAGATTCTGTGACCATGCCAACGAGCCTCCCTCCTGTCTCACCCCCGAGATGGGGACACGGCTCCCGCTTGCAAGTTTTTGCTTGTGGGTTTGGGAGAAGCTGTACGCCCAGGGCCCCAGCTTCGGGTGCTGTGTGGCCTGGGGCAAGTCGCTGCCCCTCTCTGTGCCTCAGTTTGTTCATCTATAAACCGATTATCACCCTCTGTTACACAGAATGAAAATCGTATGAGCGTCCTGTGGCTGCTGTAACAATTACAACAAACAGTAGCTTAAAACAACTCAAACTTATTTTTACGTATTTTTTAAATCTAAAACTATTCCTTAATTAGCAACCTTGGAAAAAGACATTCACATCAGGACTCATAACAATGGCAAAGACCCCAAAACAACTGGTTTTTTTCTTAACTCCTGGAGCAGAGTTTAAATCAAGCCAGACCCACTCCTGCTGTTCAAATTTGTTATTTGATAGTTTTCAAGCTCAAAAGTCTAAAATGGGTGTGCAGGGCTGGTGTCTCCTGGAGGCTCCAGGGCAGGTCCCATGTCGTCCTTTCCCCCCAGCTCCTATAGGCGCCCGCAGCCCTCGGCGTGTGGCCCCGTCCTCATCTGCAAAGCCAGCAGCGCAGCGTCTTCCAGTCTCTCTCTGCCTCTGAAATGCACAAGCGTATGGCAGCCCCTGCCCTATGCCAGGCGATGCTGGAGACCCACAGAGAGCATGATCCCAGCTCCTACAGTGCTCAATAAATCCCTGTCAAATGACAGGACAGCTTTAGTGTCCGAAGAGGACCTGACCCTGAGGCTACATGTCGGGGCGGCCGGGCCTGGCAGACACAGGTTGGGGCACTCACACATTTGAGCCATTTTTCGGGGTGAGCTGGGGCAAGTGGTCCCCATTTCTGGGTCTCAGAACAGGATTGTCCCACAGAGCTCAGCAGGCTGCTGAGCACACATTGGGGGTGCTTAGAAGATACCAGCTAACGGCTCAGCTCCCCTCCCCACTGAGGGCCCCTGGTGCCCCTCCAAGGAGGGCCGACCCTGGGGGCCAGCTGCTTGCAGCCCTGCCTGGCCTGGGTGGAAAAGTGCCTAGACATGGCACCCCTTGTCCCAGCCTGGCCCCACTGGGGGCTGGCCAGTGAGCTTAGTTGGTTAGAGCATGGTGCTGATAACACCAAGGTGAAGGGTTCGGAGCCCCATACTGGCCAGCTGTCAAAATAAAAAGAAAACAATAAGTTGATTAATTTAAAAAAAAAAAAAAAAGATATGCTCAGGCAGCTGTAATTTCGGGGTGGCCAGTTAGCTCAGGTGGTTTGAACGTGCTGTTATAACACCAAGGTCCAGTGTTTTGACCCCCGAACCAGACAGCTGCCAAAGGGAAAAAAAATTTAAGGGGGGTGCACCAGAAAACTCCATCCTCGTGATGAACATTCTATAAATGAAATTAACTAACTCCTCAAATCCTTGATGAATAAAATATCAGTATTTAAATACAGACAGGATCCAATCTGCACTTGCACAACCCTGCCTCACTTGCCTGATCCTTGGCCCAGGTTCCAATAAAACTTTACTTACAAAAACAGGTGGCCAGCCCATGGGCCATAGTTTGCCAGTCAGACTTTGTAAGACATTACATTAAAATGTTCTCTTGATGACTGAGCTGTTTGTTTATTTTTGTATCACCTGGAACTCCCTGCCCTGCTCTGCTGTGTGATCTTGGATGGATTTCCTACCCTCTCTGGGCTCATTTCTCCTAAAGGAAACAGGACAGGGGAACCCCACAAGAAATACACTCAAACCATGAAGCAAGAACATCTTTGTATGTGCAGTGATTTCTTGGTCCTTGGCATTAGGTTGGTGGGGTGGGGGAAGGCTCAGATTGGGGTTGGGATGGCTTTCAGACCCCTCAACAGGTAGGGTGTGTCTCAGTCCCAAAGACAGCTTTGAAAAGGGTGCACATCAGCTAGAACCCCACACTGTCTGCTTTTCCCTGGATTTTAACTGTTCTTAATTTTCCATTTATGGTCATCATAGGGGGGTACTTCAAAAAGCCTGCGGAGGGGCGGGCCCGTTAGCTCGGTTGGTTAGAGCCCAGCCTTAGAGCACCAAGGTCGCGGGTTGCATCCCCATACTGGCCCGCTGCAAAAGAAAAAACAAAAAGCTCGTGGAAAAATGGAATTAAAAGATAATAGGAGGCCGGCCTGTTCACTCGGTCAGAGTGTGGTGCTGATAACACCAAGGTCAAGGGTTCAGATCCCCTTACCGGTTAGCTGCTAAAAAAAAAAAAAAGGGAAATTAAAAGAGGACATGAATCTTTCTTTCCATGAGCTTTTTGAAGACCCCGCGTATATAGAATGCCTTTTCTAAGGAAGTGCATTAAGACAGTGAAAAGGCGGGACAAGGAATGAGAAGATTAAAGTTTTCCAAAAAAAATCTAGGCCAGAAGTGGGAGACGCTTTTCTTTAATTGGCTGGAGCCCAGAGAGGGGCGGTGACTTGCCCACGGTCACACAGCAAGGTGGAAGCCAGCCGGACTGTCCTGGCTCACAGCCTGAGGGGTCTGGGACTGAGGAGCGGGCACACTGGGGACGTCTCCAATGGTCCTGCAGAAGAGGAAGTGGCTCTCAGAGAAGTGAAAACCGCAGAGGGAAGAGCCGCCCTGGTTGCGCATTTCCCGCTGAGCGGCTGCTGGGGCTGCCTTCACCTAAGGCGGGGCAGCCGCAGGTCCTGCTCCCCAATCCCACAGGGCCTCCCACTGCCACCACCCCAGCGTGGCCTCGGAGCCCTCAGCCCCCCACCCCGCTCTCAGCCCTGGGACGATTGATTTTGGCTCCCCGCTCCTGCTCTTTGCCCCGCTGTCCCCTGCCCGGGTTGTTGTTCCCACCCGTGGCCCATCTTTTGAGAGCAGCCAGTGGAGCGCGTGGGCCCCAGGTGCTGGGGAAGTGACGTGAAAGGCCCCGGCCCTCGCCTGCGGTCTGACAGTTGCCCAGACAGTTCCTGTTGGCTGCTGGCACCAGGTCAGACACCTCCCAGGAGGCCAGGGCTACATCTACCGGGAGTTTGTCCCCCAGGACCCCACCTCTCTGAGGTCACCCCAGTGTTGAAGGTAGGTGGCTCCTGGAGGGGGGTCACGCAGTGGCTGCTTTTTAAAGTTGGGGGTCTGCGTAGGGGAGGCTGACAGCTGACTACTGCCAGCTTGGCATGGCTTGGGTATGGGGGTGCTGAGATCTTGGGGACAAGGCCCAAGTGTGGGTCCCTGTGTAATGTCGCCCCACCCCAACTGTCCCCCTGACGGCCCATCTTCTGGCCTGGACATTCTGTCCCCAACCCAACCCTGTAGTGGGTCCTTCCCACCACCCTCAAAAATTGATGGGTAACATTCCTGTCTCGTTGATGAGGAGATGAGCCCAGAGAGGGCAAGAACCCAACCTGAAGTCACACAGCAGGGTCAAACCTGGACAAGGAAGCCAGAATTGGGTGCCCCGCTCTTGCTGAGGGCCCTGGGAGTGGGGAGCCAAATGAGTCTCTCTCTCACCACCTGGACCCCTCGGTCACACCCACCTGTGTGTGCACACTGTCACCCCGCATGTGACGCCCCGACCTTGCCCAGCAGCATGAGCGCATCCACTCCACCCACTGAGACCCCGGCGCCTGACAGCCCGCCCTGTCCAACTCAGCCCACCTACAGCAACCTTGGTGAGCAGCCCAGCGTGGGGGCCCCAGGTCGGGGGGAGGGCAGGGGCAGGGCCAGGCTCCTGGGACTCTGGGATTGCCTGCCCGGAGCCACGCCGGGAAACAGGGGTCACCTGGTGCTGGATGCACGACTCTCTGCAGCCAACTTGTCCCTCCTCTCAGCGAGTTTCCTTCTCTGTAAATTGGGCGTGGCATCCTAGCCTGCAGGGCACAGGGCAGTGGGTATTATTATTATTCCCATTTTAGAGATGGCGTAATCGAGGCTGAGAGGTGGGGTCAGTGTCCATGGTCCCACACTCTGCGTGTCCTCACCCCCACCTTCTCCCCCGACAGGAGAGGTCCGTGCCCACCTGTTGCCCTCCAAGGCCTGCCGCCCCCGACCCCCTGGGTCCCACCCCACTGACCTGCATTCCCTGGCCCCACCCCTGCCCAAGAAGACCCTAACCCGGACCCAGTCTCTGCCCACCCGAGGAGCCCCGAGCCCCAGCTCCACCCGAGCAGGGCAGCCTCGGAGGCCCCTTCTGGGGTCCAACAGCATAGAGGACAGCCAGGTAGAGGCCAGGCCAGCCTGTCCCCCTGAAGAGCTGGCCTCCTTCCTCCCTGATGTCACTCGGGGCCTCTTCCACGATCTGCACCACCCAGGGACCGTGCATGCGGCACTAGCAGCCCGGCAGCTGCAGGGCCTCCGTGCCATCCATGCCCGGCTCAGTGCCCGGCTCATGGGGGGCCGCCCTGGCCCCTGGCACCCTGGCCATGGCTTCCGCCTCCTGGACAGTTCACCCTGCGTGGAGAGCGGGGACGCCCTGTACTACCGCGTGGTGCGGGTGGAGGAGGAGGCATGGCACATCCTGGCTGCCAAGGTGAGCCCCTTCCTGAAGTGCCCCCAAGTTTTCCATCTCAGGCATAACCCAGGGCTATACAACCAAGTTAGAAGACCATCGAGCTCACAAGCCGCGGCCGCTGACCCTACCCCTTTATTTTTATTTTTCACATTGCACTAGCGGCCTGCCGGGACGGGGATCTGAACCCTGGCCCTTGGTGTTGTCACCACAGCACTCTAACCACCGAGCTAACCTGCCAGCCCCTCCCATCGTGTTTCTATTACGCAGCCCAGCTCTGGTGCCTTAACCTCCTCCCCAGGTGCTCGGAACCAGCCCCCGGGGAACAGGAAACTTTGAGCCCGGCCCAACACACTCCCTGGTTTAATTTTCATTGGCCACTAACATGTGAATTAACACGGACCCTGTGCCTCTGGAGGCGAGGCCGCCAGCCCCCCACACCGAGCCCTGGGAGGACGGCTTGGGAGCCGGCCAGGACGGCTTCAGGGCAGGTAGACATGCAGGGGCAGGCTGTGCTGACTTGGGGTGCTCAGCGGTCGAGGCCCTGACGGCCCCCTCTGCCCGGCAGGTGCCCAAGCCCGGAGCTGAGGTGACCCCCCCGCGGGGCCAGGAGCTGCAGGCCTCGCTGCCCCCCCACTTCAACCTCCAGGGGCTGTGTGGCTTGGTGCCCAAGGGTGCACTGCCGGCTGCACCCTGGAGAGGCTCTGCCACGCTGGTGGCCGAGGTGCCTGAGCGCACGGTGGCCCAGTGGCTGGCGGAGGTCGGCGGACGGGGGCCGGCAGAGTTCGTGTGGGTCGTGGCCCTGCTGTTCCTGCAGCTGAGCACTGCCCTGGAGCTCCTGGAGGCACGGGGCGCGGTCCTGATGCAGCTGCGGCCCGAGAACCTGCTGCTGGCGGCACCGCGGGGATGCCAGGCTGCGAGCCCCCCACGCCTGCTGTTGGCAGACTTTGGTCGCATCCGCTGGCTGTCCCCGGGAACCCCTGGCGCCCATGCCCAGCAGCTGGGCTGCCTGCTCCGTGATATGCTCGGCCCCGCCGCGCCCTCAGCCTCACCCCTGGCCACTGGCCTGGAGCGCCTGGCGGCCCAGCTGCCCCAATTGCAGCCCACCGCGGCCCAAACGCGGGGCGCATTGCAGGCGCTGCTCTGGGGGCCTGGGCCTGAGCTGCGTTGCCACGGAACACCGCTGGGATCCTGGCTGCAGGTGCGCCGCGCACTGCTGCTCCTGCACCTGGCTGAGCGGGCCGCGGGGGGGGAGGTGCCTGGCCTGGAGGACTGGCTGTGCTGTGAATACCTGGCTGAGGCCACCGAGGCCTCGCTGAGCCATGCCCTAGCACTACTGTGGGACTGACCCCAACCAAGAGCAGACACACCTGATCCAGGGCCTGTCCAAGAGGCAGGCACCCATTCCCAGGGCTGGGGCTGGTGGCCAGTGTCTCTGTGGACATCCCCCTCCAGCAGAGAGCCCAGGAGGTCAGCAGAGTGTAGGGGTGTCGACAGCTCCTCCAAGAGTGAGGGCACTGCCTCTCCTGTATTGGGGACTTAGTCCCAGGCCTCCCCAAGAGTGCAGCTGTCCCCATCCAGGACTGGGGGCTGATGGTCGGTGCCTCCCAAGATGTGAATGGCACTTTTCTGATGCCAGGGATACCCGCTCCTGTTCTGGATGTGGATACCCCTGCCAGTCAATGTCTCTCTGAATGTGTCCTTCCAGCATAGAGACTTCTGTCTCCAAGACAGTGTGGGCGCTGTCCTTCCAGTGCTGGGATCAGAGGCATTCCTGGTCCTGGTGCACCCCCTGGTGCTGAGGGTGGCCAGTGACCCTGCAAGTGGGAATGTCCCAGTCCCTTGTCAAGAGCTGCTTGGGGCTTCCAGGGGGAGGGGAGGCTCTCTGGAACCTTAGACACCCACCCCTGCGGAGGCTGGCTTCCCTGCCACCTCCCCCACTTCCCCCGTCCCCACCCACCTGGCCGCTTCTCTGCTCCTCTGTGACACACTAAATTCTTTCTGTTTGGCTGCTGCAATCCCCCTTCCTCTAAGCAAATAAAGTTGTCCTCCTGAGCCCACTCTAGCTTCTTACTCTGCTTGGAATAAACAAAAGGCAGAGACAAGACTCATTCTGGGGCCTGAGGGAGAGAACTAGTCTTTTTTTTTTTTTTTTTTTTAAAGATGACCGGTAAGGGGATCTCAACCCTTGGCTTGGTGTTGTCAGCACCACGCTCAGCCAGGGAGCAAACCGGCCATCCCTATATAGGATCCGAACCCGTGGCCTTGGTGTTATCGGCACCACACTCTCCCGAGTGAGCCACGGGCCGGCCTGAGAACTAGTCTTTGACGTCTCTGAAATCTGGACACAGGAACCCTGAGAGTCCCCACTGCCCTTGATTGAGACCTCCTCCCTGGGGTCTCCAGTGGTACCCTCTCCATCCCATCTCCCTATGGCAGTCCTGGAGGGATGTTTCTAACTCTCAGGTATGGCCAGGTCCCGCTCCTGCTCAAACACCTGTGGCTCCCTAGCACTCACAGGGCTCCTCCAGAGGCTCTACAAGCTCTCTCAGTCCAACCCTTCACGCCACATTGTCCATCCTCGGGGGTGCCTTCTGGCTCCAGACCTTTGCCCACGTAGTGACTTCCACTGGAAACACTCTCTACTTCACACTCCTATTCATCCTCCAGTGCCCCAGGAACAATGCCCTGTCTCTGCATTGTGCTGCCCAGACAAGCTGGGAGTGTCTGTGTCCAGCTCTGTCCCCCCAGCCGACACCATGCTGGCTCAGGTGGCTGGAAATCTCACAGTGCTCCCCAAGCCTACCCTAATCCCCCAGAGCTCCTTGCCCCCCCTTGAGAGATGCCCCCTTTCTAGCCTGTTTCCCGGCCAGCACCAGGCCATCAGTCTCCGGGCAATGTTCCCAGGTATGACCGGCAGGTGGCACTGCAGCCTAGCAGACCTGCCTGCTCTGGCAGCCCTGCCCAAATGCTCCCACTTCTAGGCTTTGGCCTCAGACCTCTAACTCACCCCAGCCCACCCACAGCAGAACCCAAGTTGACCTCCGCCCCCGTACGGCCGCAGGCCTGCCCCACCTTTGCTCAGGCCGTGACCCCCACCACAGTGTTCCTGCCCCAGCAATGGTATCCCCAGGAGTGACTCATGAATAGGACCCCAGAGGGATTTGGAGGGCCCACACGGACATACACACCACCAAAGGCACACACAACCCAGCTGGAAAAGTCCCAGCCAGCCAGGCAACCTCCCAGGACCCAATGGGCTGGCGGTCAGCTCAGTAGGTTAAAGAACCATGTTGTGACACCAAGGTCAAAGTTCAAGAGTTCAGATCCCTGTACTGGCTGGCCACCAAAAAAGAGCCAACAAGGACTTAGCCAGTCTGAGGCAAAGGGTGGTGGCAGGGAAGGTGGGACCCGCCTCCACCAGGAGCTGCCCAGGGGAGAGGCGGACAAGAAAGAGGCATGGACTGGCTCCCAGAGCCCTGCAACTGCCTCATACGCCTCCCCTGACACTGGAGCTGTGACCCACCTGACCCCTGACTCCAGCTTGGGACAGGAGATGAGTGGGCAGAAAGATCAGGCCCTGGGTTCCGTTCCTGTCCAGGCCCTTCCCCTCTAAAAACCAGGAACACATGCACTTGGCTCAGGACACTGAACATTGGCTGCCACGTAAGACCCACTTCCCACCCCAGCCCCCCTCTCCCCACCCCGCCCCAGAACCCAGGGTTCCCCCTCCGTCCAGCCCGCTCCCAGGCACACCACGGAGACAGTACAGGTCTTGGAGGCATAATCACTTTTATTCAGATTTTTGAGCAACAGAAGGGTAGATTAACATCTATCTTTCCAAGATAAGAGACCTAAGACTGTTTCGAAAAGACTTCAAATAAGAAACTCCTCCTCAAAGTACAAGGATAATCTGAATCATCTTAAACCAGCAATAAAAAAGTAAAATATAAATTTTTATTTAGAATTAAAGCAAATACTTCAGTATCACAAACACAATATTAAACTTCAAGAAATATACCGCTGATTTGGAGTGAGCGTTTATTTGCACAATTACAACATGCGGACAAACCCATAAGAGCTGAGCGAGGCTGCACGCCACCCCACTGCAGGGACCACTGCAGGGACCACCGCGGGGCTCCCACCTGCCCCCGTCCCTGCGGAGGCCAGTAAGGCGGCCAAGCTGTCACGACTCCTCCTCGCCTGAAGACTCTCTCTCAAACGTGTAGGCCATGAAGCAAGCGTCGGGTCTCTTGGGGACAAGGGGATGCCCTGGTCTCACAATCTCAAAGCCCAAAAAGCTGAAGGTACGGAGCAATGCGGCTGTGGAGAAAACGCCGTTACAGCCAGTGGGTGTGTCCCCAAAGCCTGTTCTCCTGCCCCCAGGTGCCTGGACCCCAGAGGTCACTGAACTGTAACGTGCAGTGGGCACAGCAGCCCAGGGATTCCCGGCAGAGCATGGCAGGATGGAGGGGGCTCCACTGCCCACGCAAGGCTCCCCTCACCCCCGCAGAACCCCAGGTGACAGACAGCGGCGCCTACCTCTGTCCTCTCGGTTTTTGTGGAAGCAAATGAAGACGTGGTCAGCATGGAGCTGCTCCTCAGCAAACTCCAGCAGAACTGCGAAGCTGAAGCACACGCAGCCACCAATCAGCCCCTCTCGCTGGGCCCGTCCCTGGCACCTCTCCTCCCACCCAGCCTCATGCACAGTGAGCCCTGGCTCTACTACTGAAAGGTCCACACCGGGACTAGATCCTTCTCTGGGGGCAGGGCCATCCTGGGTGCTGCAGGTGTTGAGCAGCAACCCTGTCTCCACCCACCACACCATGACAACGAAGAAAGGTCCCCAGACATCACCCAGTGTGTCCCCTAGGGGGCAAGACCCTGGGAGAAGAGCTGGTGCCCACACCTATCCTTGCTCCCCTCCGGCAGCGCACCGCCTGGGATCTCGATGTACAGGCTGCTGCCGCTCAGCACTGCTCTCCAGGTGATGTGTTTGGCTTCTGTGAGCCTGGACTGGACGTTAAGAATCCTCGTCTTGTCATTAGACGTTAGTTCCTCTGTTACATTCAGCCGATTATCCTGTGAAACGAGAGCCCAATCTTGCCTTTTAGAGACCCCCACTCGCAGGACAGGACCATCCCCCCTCACCGCAAAAGTTAACACAAGGTGGCCACCGACAATTTGGAAGATCCAGAAAAGCATCAAGACCCCACCGCCTGCCCAGCAGTTAACATTAGGACCCACGGCCTGTGTGCAGGGGGCTGGGGCACAGGGGCCAGGCGGGAGCCTGCGAAGCTCCCTGCTGGCTGGGACAGGGCCTGGCTGTACAGCAGGCCATGCTCGCAGGGAACTCGGACTCCGCCCCCAGGCAGCGGAGGGTGCAGACCCCCCCCCGCCCCCCGCCCCACACGTTGGATACTTACAGAGTAAAATAAATTAGCTGAAAGATTGTGATCCCTCTGACTATTCCCTCGCCCACCTGGGATCTTCAGGGGTGGGTGAGGGACATCAGGAGCACCACTGAGGCCCCGGACCCGGGTTACTACAGCAATTGAGGGACACCCTGGAACTGAAGAACAGGGGCTGGTTAAGAGGCAGCGCCAGCACACGGCTGGCCGTGACCCCCTCCCGCAAGGGAGTCCCGGGGGACCTCCTAATCCGACAAGGCCACAGCGTTCCAGGGTCGTCAACCCTCCCCAGCCGCCTCCGAGAAGCCCCACGTTTGCGCTGGGGCTTCCCTAAGGTCAGCTCGGACCCAGAGCGCAGGAAGCGGCAGGTCCCGTCCGCGGCTGCTCAGGACGGTGCCCCCCGCCTGTGCTCGAGGGCAGAGGTCCCGCCGCCCGCCGGGTCAGGTTTCACTTCCCGATCCCAACGCAGCCCCGCGCCCGGCCGCGGCCAGCCCTGCAGCCCGGCTCCCCCTCGGAGCCAGCGCGTCCATCCGAGGACACCTCTCGTCCCTGCCACAGACCAACAAGCCACGCCCGCCGGGCCACTCGAGCCTTACGGGTGACACCGCCGCCCCGGGCTCCCGGCCCCGCGGTTGCGTCATCCGGCCGCCGCGGCCGCGCGCCCCGAACAGCTTCGCACAATCCCGAGCCGGAGGCGCCAGCAGCCATTTGCTGCGCGGCGCAGACAGGACCCGAGGTCGCCTCCATCTTGCGCGGCTCTCACCCGGGCCCCGGACGGCGGCCCCACCTCCGAGGACGCCCGCGGGGAAGTCCCCTCTTCTTGGAGAGAACGGGGGTCTTCGGGGTGCGCTGCGCAGCTTGCCCGCCGTGTCCCCAAGTGCACATTCGCGGCTCGCGGGCCCGACTGGGGCCAGCGCCCCCCTCCCCCACGCGCGCC